CTTGTGTCCTGGGAGGGACTGAAGCCATCTCTTAGCTTCTGGGAGCTAAAAGGCAGGTTGGCAGTCAAAGGAGCAGTTTGCAGGAACACAGACTTCAGGCTGAATCCGAGGAAGACAGAGGGAATCAATCCTTCCAGGGTCAGTGGACAGAATTCTCAGGTGGCCATGATGAGTGGGATAGAGATGACAAATGGCACAGTGTCCCCAGTAATGGGACAGGGGAAGGATGGTTCCCTTAGGTTAAATGATAAAGTCCCTAAAACCACACAACCTGGAGCCAAACTTGGACATTTTGGAGCTGTCCTGCACCATAGTTTCTCTTTTTTCCTTTAGCCTGCTCCCTCTGGGACCCTCTCTGTGCTGTGGAAGAGGTCTGCCTGAGTAGCCTTTGGAGGGATTTTATCAGGACCGAGGGAGATTGAAAGGGTGGGGTCCACCCAGGTCAGGCTTGGGCAGGATGGGGAGTGGGACAGTCCTGTGTGTCTCTTTGGGCTCACACTTCTAGCTGCTTGGAGCAAGAGCCGCCAGGTCTTACAAGCCTCCTCCCAAACATCCCCTTACTGTCTCACCGTCTCTGTTTTCCCAAGCTTTGCTGTGGGTCTGACCTGCTAGGTTGTCCTGCTGCCCTGGGCAGAAAGAGATGCAAACATCCCTTAAGTACAGACTCAAGACACCAATATGTTATCTGAGTCCTGAGACTTAGAGAGGGCAGCGACTGTTCAAGGACATGTGGCTAGGTGAAGGGCGGTGGGGGTCGGGACAAAACTCACTTCTGACACCCATTCTCAGGCTTCTGCACCGACCATCATGTGGTGGTCTGTCTAAGGACATGCGTTTATTAGCCAGCTACACCAGGCATCAAGATACTTCTATTGGGACTTGTTTATACTTTGGGATACCATTTTTGCATAGTTAAACCGGGAATGTTTCGACGACAAGGGGAGATCATATTTTCCTCTTGTGGGACCCAGTGTCTCAGTCATGATTAGTTTGGCTTGAACAGATCTTACTGAGAGGGAATGAGGCATGCGAGGTGAAGGGTCATGTGTGAGAGAGAGACACCCCCACACACATCCAAACAGCAAAGACCAAAGAGAGAGGATTCTATTTCCTGAACGACTTCGTAGATTCAGGGCCGTAACATCCCTGAAATGTGTTTTAAGTCTTAATACTGGTAGGAATCATGGCCCCTTTTACCAGTCACTGTGAACTCAGAGAGAACAGAACTGCTAAAGGTCACACAGCTGGTGAATGGAGGAACCTGGACTCTTAATTCCTGTCCTTGACTCCAGAGTTCGGGCTCCTTCCACCACACTACTACTAATAAAACCATCCCTGCCGTGCCCATCGTGACTGAATGAGTCAACATTTGAAGGACATTGTCAGAGTCTAAAGAGCTGATTATCAGTTCCCATACACTATAGCAAGTACTATCTTAGCATCAAGTCCCCAGATCCAGAAGGAGACCCACTAAGTGCCAAGTACCTAGCCAGGTACCTGGCAGGTAACAGGCTGTCAGTTAGGAACTGTCCCACCACTACATAGTGAGTAGGCCATGGGAACAGGCCCTGGCACTTTTTTGTAAGAAGACAGAAGTCTGAGTGCTGAGTACCTCAGATCTCAGCCCTTATGACACCTGGCACTCCTGATAGCCTGTGACCATGTTCTGTTGACAACCAAGCCACCCATGGGATCCTTTTGGTGTGTGTGTGTGTGTGTGTGTGTGTGTGTGTGTGTGTGTGTAACTGCTAAAGCATGCTGTACCTAGCATGCATGTGGAGGTCCGGGACAGTTTTATGTTCTTTGCTACTGTGTGTGCCTGGTTGCGTGGCCTTCAAACTTCTATTCAAACTTCTATGCTCAACAGCCTATCTTGCTATTAAAAACATGAGGATTACAGATGTGTGAGGCAACCTCTCAGCTAGGATGAGTTCTAGACCCTGGGTTGGTGTTTTTGTTTTGAGTTAAGGTTTCATACTATGGCTCAGGTGGCCTGAAACTATGTAGTCCAGGATGGCCTTGAACTCTTAAGCAGTCTTCTTCCTCAGCCTCCAGGTGCTGGAGTTACAGTGATATACCACCACAGTTGGCTTCATAGGGTCTTTAAACCGTGAAGAACTGGGCCAGAAGTCATTGCAGGACAATTGTCCACTTAACCCTTCCCTCTACCCAGGATCTAAGCCAGATGGTAGTCACAGACATGGCAGATGTGGCCGGCTAGCAGCATATAGCAACCAGCCCAGACTAGAACAGGCCTTGGTGCCTTCAACAAGACTCTGCTAGCATGATGCACTTTCTGACTTCTCGCCCCTACCCCCTACCCCCAGCACTCTTCTCAGCCTGGAATATGGTGAAAAGGTTGTTTTTTTCCATCAAATGAAACAAGACTAAACTCTGTGAGCATGCTTGTGTTTTCCCAGCAGCTGGCACAGGTTAATGCTTGGTGAGGGAGGAGACAGCAGAGGACTGATGCTGGCAATTCGATAGAACCATGTCACATTGATGATACCAGGGTGTTGTGGGGCATTTGCCAGGGAAGACTGCTTGGGCATGGGTGTAAGCCAATAGAAAGTCTTTATTGGCCAGTCAGTGACTACACTGGGCATTTGGGATCCCGTTATAGCCCCGAGCCATTCTCTGGATGAACGTTAACCACAAAAACCCTGTCCTGGGTTGACACACTTCAGCTAACAAGAACAGTTAGCCAGAAGCAGAACTACAGAAGCCAAAAAACAAGGTTAGTACATTTAGAGGCTTTCCCAGAACTATGGACTTTGATGGATTAGGTTTTTGTTTTCATTTTTGGCAGGTGGTGCTGTCTGCATGTGAGTTTTACAGCCTGAATGGCATTCCATCATGGAGTCAGTTGTGCTAAGATCTGGGGCCCTGTTACAGGGTGTTGGTTTGTGCTCTGCCAGCTGGGCAGTACCAGAACTCCTCTGGCTATAGAGGAGGAGGGATCCAGTTAGATTCCAGAAGCACCCTGTGCTTAGGCTGTTCAGTTAGGGAGATGCAGCTTAGACATAGCTGGCAGATTCTCAGAAACCTCAAAGATGACAAGACTTGTAAGGAGGGAAGGTGTCAAGAGAAGGCAGCCCCAGCATGGCCAGGTGTATATAGGAACCCCCAAGACACTCAAACCAGGAAGGTAGACCCCAGGGGTCAGTGAGGCCTAATCCCCAGGAGCCAATTTCTAACCTGCTCTAGCTAGCTGTGGAGTGGGGGCTTTGCACTTGGCTGACTGTAAGGGCTGTATGGCTAGTGGAACCTCTCCAGGGGCCTTTTGGTGCCCTGCATTCATTCAGTGGGCTATATTAAGCCAAGAATCTCAGCTGCCAGAACTTGGAAGGGCCAAGAAGCAAAGCATTATGGCATAGATAGGGAAAGATTACCCACAGCAGGACTCATAAAAAGTCACACTTGTTATTTCCAAAAAAGCCCCGCAGTGGAGAGTTCAGGAAACAATAAAACGTATTACAGTTTTACAGTGTTTTGATCACTTGTGATGGGAGAAGGTGAGGCTTGTTCGGGTGTCTTAACCCTGCCCCAAGCAACTCTTCCAAAACTGTTTGGGAAATCAGGGGTAGGTGTGGGCTGCCTTTCAAAATCCAGACTCTCAGTCCAGTGCTCTGCGCTGCCATCTGACCTGTTGCACAATACTAAATAACTGGATTGCCTTCTTGAAATTTCCGTTTTGTTCTTTGCTGCCGGCCAGCACCCCAGCTGGTGGGAGTGATGTAGGTCTTCTAAGACATCCAGTGGACTGTTTTTGTCCCAGGTCTCTGGATGCGGGGCCCCAATCAACTCAAGTGTTGCACACTTTGTGCCAAGGACACCGACACAGGAGTCACACACATGCTGAAACGATGATCAAGAATGGTCTGTACTGCTCACAAACAACAGGATCCCTCCCCTCCCCCAATCTCTGCACTGGTGGCGGAGTTCTGGGCTCCTCCTCTTCCCTACCAGACTAGGGGAGGGGGTCCTCTTAGGAAAGAAAACAGCTGGGGTTAGCGGCTAAATACAGGCAGAAGAAGCAGGATGGAGAGGGTGCTGGCGGCCCAAGTCTGGCCACCTGGGTCAGTCGCGCACCCCGGTCCTCGGCTGGCCAGGCCTCGCAGCAGCCCAGGTCTCGCCACGCGGTGAAGTTCTGCGGAAAGTTTTGCAGTTGCTTCGCTGCCCGCGCCAGCAGGAGAAGCTGTGACGCAGCGTCTGGGGCTCCAGGCCCGGGCTGAAAAGAGAGGGAAGACGAGGCGGGAAAGATTTAAGAAGCAGAGTGGAGGAAGATAAAAGAGCGCACGCTCGGGACGGGCCTTGTGGACCGCGCTGACCCTCCTCTCCTGCCATCCCCTTCTCTCCCTCCTGAAGCGCGCTCCCTGCGACCGGGTCCCCAGCCCCGCGTCCCCGCACCTCCTCCTTCCCCTCCCACGCTGCCCACTTCCCTTCCCCTCTGCCCCTCAAACCCTCCTCCTGGGTTCGGCGCTCCTCCTTCTGCCCTCCCTCCGCGAGGCCTGCCTCCTGTCTCCTCCTCTCCGGGAGGCATCACATCGTCCCAAGCCGGAGGAAGACTCGAGCCCCTCGCCAGCGGTCATCCGAGCCCAGCATCAGGGCGCCACTGCGCGCAGCCCGGCCGTGCGCCCACGGTCCTCTCGTCCTCGGAGCGCCGCAGAGATGGGGCCCATCCGACCTGCCCTCGCGCCCTGGCCTCATCACCTGCTGCGCTGCTTCTTGCTTCTCGGGGTACTGCATCTCGGCCACCCGGGGGACGCCGCCGCAGCCTCCGCCGCCCTCTCGGGTAAGGCACTGCCAACTTGGCCAACTTCGGGGGCGGGCCCGAGGGGGAGTGGGGCTTCTTGACTTTTCCCTCTTTTTTTGTTTCTTTTTTTTTTTCTAACTCCCTTATTTTCTGGAGGCGCGTGCTTGTGGTGTGTGTGTGTGTGTGTGTGTGTGTGTGTGTGTGTGTGTGTGTGTGTGTGTGTGTGTGTGTGTGTGTGTGTTTTAAAAATCGCCTCCGCTTTTCTGGAAACGAGGGAGGAGATGGGAGGAGGAGCGCGCCTGGAGGTGGGGGAGGACCTGAGTGGAACCAGATGTGGCAGGCGGCGGGGGAGGGGATCCTGGGCACTGCGGCCTGTGAGGGAGATGGAGGGCTGGCGACTAGCGTCCGGGTCATCCCCCCTGCCCCTCGCCGCCCGGCGCCCTCCCCGCGCTGGTCCGGTATGGTGGGATGCACCGGGAGAGCCAGAGGCGCATTGTTTCACGCTCCGTACGTGAGGGGTCAGGCGCCTGTGCAGCGTCTGGCAGGGTCTTTATATTTTCTTTCTTGGTCTTCAAGGACGGCTTGTGGCATACAACTTCTGTAGCGTTCGAATGGAATCCTGTGGGACAGTTTTATGTCAGCAGGGCAGAGTGCGTGTGCGTCTCTGCGTGTGCGCCTGTGTGTGTGTTCGTGCTCTCACTTTGTGTGAGCAATTGAGGCCAAACTGGCACTTCTCCAGGGTGGACAATCTTAAGCTGCAAAAGAGTTTCTAAAGATGCAAAACCACAGCCCACAGAAAAGCAATCACACAAGCCCCCCAGACTGTACCCTTTTCTTTGCTGCTTGATTCTTCTTCTTTTTACACCCCCCCCCCCCAAGAACTGACTGGAATGTGAGGTCAGACAGGTCTCTCACCAAGACGCTGACCATTGGTGGGGTAGATCTTCCTCCTTGGGAGGATTTTCCGAAGTAAAAAATTAAGGGCCTCCACGTCCCCTTTTGTGTTTAACTGGGGCTGGGGTGAGTGGAAAGGGATGGGACAGCTCCTGCAGCTTTGTGCTGGGACCAGGGGGGGCCCTGGAGAGTCTGAGGCCTTGGCAGTGACGGGCTGTGCTGTGGGCATCTACTAAAGGGAAAGGAAGGGGTGACCCAACTCACATAAGAAGACCTCCCCCTGACTTCCATCCCACCTGGACCTGAAACCTGGACAGACGGGAAGCAAACACAGCCGCCTGTCCCTTACCTCCCGGTCTTCTCCACAGAAGAGCAGGGTACTGCGGGATGCGAGGGTGCAGGGAAGGGGCGGCCATTCCAAGAGCCCTAGCCTGGGTTTTAGAGCCAGGCCCTGGGAAAGAGGTGGGCCAGGCTGCTGACTTGCTCTTTTCCCCCAGAGAGCTTTCGACAGGGGCGTGGAGGTGCCTGATGAGGGGCCCAGTCAGGGAGGAAAAGGAGGCCTACAGTGTCCCCGAGCCTCCTGGTCTTTGCTTCCGTCCCTTCCTGCTCTTGCTCTCAGCCTGTCCTACACACGAAATACCCATAGCCTGGGCTGTTGCATTGTCTGGATTACCTACCCCAGCCCTGAGGGAGCCCAGGCTAAGGCAGCTGGGGCTGAGGAGCCTCCACAACCGAACAGGAGGGTAACATCACACAACTTCCCTGTCAGTGCACACAACACTTCCAGGCAAATCTTGGAAGTTGGCAGGGTGGGGGCAGGAGCACCCAATTTCCATGGGTCCCTCGTATGGGAGACTGGTGCAGGGCCTATGGGCTCTGCTCCTCTGTGCCTGATGCCAGAGGCAGGCACTAGCACAGGGAGACTGTGGCCCCAGGAGATGCTTGTGGGAGGTAGGTAGGATTTGCCAGGCAGGCTTTTGCTGGGGTGAAAGGCCCCCTAGGGGAGGGGCTGCGGGTCTGTAGCTGCCTCCGCCCCAGCAGGAAGTCCAGTGGGCTCAGGACTGCGGAGATAAGTGCTGCTCTCTTAGGGGTCAGAGGTGGCAGGGCTGTAGGAATTCTGGACGTAGGGTGGCAGGGTTTACCTTTACTTCCTTAGGTGAAGCATGCTGCTGCTGCAATGATGATCCACTCTCCATGCATGCAGCACCGAGCCACGTGCTTTAGAAGGGTTAGTTAAGATGCGTCCTTAGAGAAAAGGAAGTCTTTCAGAATGTCACAGGTTGAATCGTTAGTATGGGGTGAAGGCTCCGTTGGTGAGGGCCCTCTCTCCACCTAGAAGCCCTGTTAAGTTCACTTTTTCATTTAGCTCTGATGATAGCCTGAAGACGTAGGTATCGTTGGACCCATTTTGCAGAGTGCAAAATGGAGTCTGAAGGGGAGTGTGATGATTTATTTTGGGCACATCTAGTAATTGAAAGGCTGGAACCAGGGACGCTTGATGACTAGAGAAGAGGAGAGAGTGGTCCAAGGAAAGGCTGTCTGGGGAGAGCGGGGAGGGCAGAAGGGAGAGAGGGCAGGCCAGGAAGGAGGCACCGTTGCTGAATTGTGTGGAGGCTTCCTGGGTTCCCGAAGGAAACTGACCAGGTCCTGGAAGCCCCGCTGAAGACCCCACTTGCAGGCTGGCTGTGAGGCTCTGAAGTGCTGATGCTTTCGAAGTACAACAGAGGCAGAGGGGGCTGCTATCTAGGTGGAGCCAGCAGGAGACCTGGGGAAGTCCTCCCGTGGTGAAGGGCTTCTGTCTAAAAGGCACACAGAGGTGCCGCATGCCCTCTGAGAGCTATTGGGGACGTGTCATCGCCGCTGGAGTCACTAGACAAGCCACTACGTACAGCCAGCCAAGCCCTGTCCTTCCCCATAAGACGGCCTTCCTGGCTTTAGCAAGCTGCCAAGGCCTCTGTGCTCCAGCTGGGCTTCTGTTCTATCCCGAGTTCACCCAGGCAGGGTGAAGGTGCACGCAGGGGAGCAGGAAGCCTGGGTTTGGTCCCAGTGTGTTTATACCAGAGAAGTCCGACCGATGCCCACGAGTTGGCGTAACTGTGGGGTGGGATGGAGAAGCCATGAACTTCTCAGGGTCTTCTCTTGAACTCGTCACTAGTTTGAGCATGGGAGTGGGACAAAGGGACAGCAACAAGGAGAGTCACATCTCCTAACCCTTAGAAGACCTTACCTCAGACCCTGGGAGTCACATGGTAGGATTATTTGGTGATCTTTCTCAAGATCTCGCCACAAGAAAGTGGTGACTAGAACTGAACGCAGGTGAGGCAGAAGCGAGCACCTAAACCCAGCAGCGCCTGACGGAAGTAAAAGCTGCAGAAGGCAGGAAAATTGCCTGGGAGCTCTAGGCCTAGTAGGACCCCCTGTGTGTTAGCTAGCTTGTCACTGTGACTCAGTTGCTTTATCTAAACAAGTCACCTGGTTCCATTGCCCTTAAGCCTGTGGTGAGGCAGAAGGTTTAACAAAGGGTCATGGGAGCAGAGGAAGGCTGCTCAGCTCACGCCAGCCAGGAAGCCGGGGAGACTCTGAGGACAGGCAAGGTGCATCCTTCGAAGGCCTGCTCTCAGTGACTTGCTTTCTCCAACTTGCTCCGCTTCCTAGTTGCCCAATAATGTCATTCCATTATGGCCCCATCATCGGAGTGGTCCATCCATTAGCTTAAAGCCCTTATGATCTTGCAATCCAAAGACTCCCTCCAAACATCACACTGGAGACCAAGCTGTCGTACCCAGACATAACACCAATCCATGTGTCCTCTTGAGAGGGACAGTCAAGAAGAGCGTGGGTAGACAGCCCTCTTTAGTCCCCTGGTTCTCACACGTCTCCATGGGCCCAGGAGGCAGAGACTGAGTTCCCTCTCCCTGTCCTTGGGGTCCTGGAGATGTTCCCCTCCAAGGAGGTATTGATAAATAAGTGCCAAATACCTGAAGGTGCTCCAGCCAGGCCCCCTCAGCTCCTTTATTTCAGATATTCATTTGTTCATTCATTCGTTCGTTCATTTTTTACTGAGCCTGTATGGTGATGTGATCAAGGTGACTAAAGTCTATTCTTCCTTTGAATCTACCCCCCAACCCGCCCTGCACTTGCTGCCTGTGGGGGGTGCTCCCTGGACTTGGAGGGGTCTGGGGTATCACTGGCAGGAAATGTGTCTTCCTGTTTAGCCCTTGATGAAATGTGGAGGGCCCCCTTTCCCATGACTGAGTCCTATAAATCCGGGTGGGGTTAGCCACTGGAGTGGTGACACAACTCTTGGAACTCACCCTGAGCTCTGCAGATTCTAGTTACTCTTGGTGAGAGGAGGGCTGCATGGTGATCTGTGACAGGAAATGCTGGGGACAGTCGGCACCAAGGCTCTAGACTGATTGCCTCCTCCAGGCAGCGCACACGGCTGGGAGCTCTCATGGTTGGTTTCTTTCTACGCTTAGTCCTCGGGACCGCTCTGTCCTCTCCTGGGGCCCTTGGCTTTGCACCTTCGAAGTACAGACCCTTGGAGCTGGAGAGATGCTCAGTGGTTAAGAGCAGCCTTCTAGAGGTCCAGGTTTTGATTCCCAGCACCCACAAGACAGCTCACAACTGTTGGTAGCTCCAGTTCCAGAGGATCTGACACCTTCCAGCCTCTGAGGGCACCAGGAACACACATGGTACGCGGATGTACATGCAAGACAAAACACCGTAACCATAAAATTTTAATTTAAAAATAAAACTACAAATCCTCCACTGGCTTGCCCCCGCTTTCTGACAGCCTCTGCCCCCTTCAGCTCCTCTGACTGGGGATCAAATCCCCCAGGAGACACCTGTGAAACTGCAGCTGCTTTCCACAAGATGTTTGGAAGGGTAATTGGTGTGTCTTGCCGACTGAGGCAGGGGTGTAGGTGTGATCTAAGCTATTCCCTTCCCCTCTCAGTCCTCTGAATGTATTAATGGGGCAGAACCCTTGAGGCCAGAATTAACTGACCAGCTGTGTGGCCTCAGGTCTGGTGTCTTCTTTTGTCAGGTGAGACCGAGAACACCCCATCTTGTAGGGTGTTGCGTGGGAGTCACACTAGTCAGATGATAGATGGCTGAGATACGCGTCCGGCACGCTATGAGGCACTAAACTATTATGTTTTTTTTATTACTAATAGAAAGAAAACCCATGAATATCAAGGGATTCAAATATGATAAAACAGCCCCAGCTAGAGATGATGACTCAGCACAGTTAAGCGCACTCACTGCTTCCAACAACACCCAGGAGTGGTTCCCAGCATCCATGTCAGATGGTTCACTACCATCTGTAACTCCAGTTTCCAGGGGATCCAGCGCCCTCTTTTGGCCTCCGTGGGCACCAGGTACACATGTGGTTTCCATATATACATGCAGGCAAACACTCATCCACATAAAATAAAAGATAAGTCTCTTTAAATAAAGGGTAAGATGAGAGTAATTCTTGTTTGTTTTTGAGACAGGGTTTCTCTGTGTAGCCCTGGTTGTCCTGGAACTTGCTCTGTAGACCAGGCTGGCCTTGAACTCACAGAGATCCACCTGCCTCTGCCTCCTGAGTGCTGGGATTAAAGGTGTGTACCCCCACTGCCCCGGTAAGAGTAATTTTTTGAAAAGAAAAAAGACAACAACAACAGAAAACTCTGCAAAGTCAGTTGGGCAATAGTGGCCCTCCAAGGTCCTCCTGTCCCTCCCAGTACTGGATTACAGGTACACCACCACTCCACAACCAGATTTTTACATGGGGACTCAGCCTCCAACCTCAGGTCCTCATGCTTGGGCCATTTCCAAAGCCCCTGGACCAATTGCTTTTGGTGTCACTGCAAGCCTATATGCACCTGAAAGTCACCTGTAAATATAAAAAATAAATGTAAATACCAAATTGGGGCCGGGGGAATCCCACCCTTAGTGGCCCTGGCTGCCTCAGGTCCTTATTTACCACACTCTCTTCTGTGTGATCTCACTTCCTTGCTTAACCCTCACTGAGGGTGCCTGGAGCTTTTTTTGTGCCTGGAGTGGGCAATGCTAAACCCAAGGCTGTCCCAGTATGCTCGATTTCCTCAGAGCCTGTGGTGCCAGCTGTCTTCAGGTCTGTCTCTGTGCCTGGCTTACAGTCGAGCATGAGCGCCCGAGGCTGGACAGTCACCTCCAGCCAGAAGCCGCTCTCTCCACTGGCGCGGCTGCCCTCTTCCAGCGGGCTGTTTTGTGCTTACTTCCACCTGGAAACTGCATCCCCACGGATGGGCTCAGTGCCTGAGACACGGTGGTGGGCAGTAGGTATTTATTGAGTTGGGAAAAGTAAAAGCAAGCGGACAAGTGTCCCAAAGACAATAAGGGACATTTGAGATGACGTCATGATCTTGGAAAAACACTCAGTATTGGGTTTAGGTAAATGGTAGAAAGTCCAATGGAGGAGGCTAACCTCCAGAAGTAAAAGTTTTAAGCTGTTATAAAAATGTAATGTGGGAGACATGCCAGAAACAACACTTAGAAGATGAGATCTTTGCTTTTAAATGC